ATACAAAATCGATACAGAAATAGCATTAGCATTCGACGATGCCGAGGCTAAGGGATATCCAGAGCTTTTATTTTCGGCAAGGCTTTCGTCATCACGATAACTCGAGTAAATGGCAAACAAATCCCCCAATCGAATCCGTCCGGGTCCGGAACACAAATCTGGGCCGGACAGACCCGGCGGACGACGGAAGGGAAGGCTGTCGTTGACGAGGAACCTCCTGGAACCAAGAACCGCCGTCGACAAAACGTCCGGCAGAAAAGAGGGGTCGACAGAACCGTCCGGTGGAGCTCCGGCACCGCCGACGGGGACGGTCCCCCGCTGCGGCAGTCCGTCCGGAGAGGCAGTAAAAGAGATGCCGGCAGACAATGCGGTTCGTTTCCCAGGCAATCGGCAAACGCATTTATGGACCGGGAAATCCGAGGAGATTTTCTGCCACAGAGATTTCTCGGACTTTAAACGTCTAACCCACGCGGTTACGGGAGAACGATTACGAAAGACTTTTAACTTCGATAACGGAAGTCGTAACCGCGTATCGTCACCGTTAATTCTTCCGGTAGCCAAGTCTGCGCAAGTATTTCGCGTAGTGTTCGGGCGCATTCCAATTACGTCATTAAAAAAACTCGACCTTTTGTTTTTTCGGGTATCCACGCCGTCGGAATGGCCACGTCCGAATGACAGATCGTCCCGTCGGGGAGTCGGACGACGTAACGGAACGAACAGGGGACCTATTCTGAGCTCTTCCGATAACTCAACGAGAGCGATACACGGGTCATTCGATAAGTCCCTTTAGCGAAAGGCAGTTAACGAACCTTACACAAATTGCTATTCTGAGCTCTACGTTAAGTGGGTTTCGCTACGGGTAGTCGGTCGAGATGCGTCTGGGTTCCACGCTATCGATAGCTATTACGCTTTAACCAATCACAGTTTAGTTAACATAGTATTTTTGTCACGTGACTGCAACCCGCCATTTTCTAAGCGAAGCACGTGCTCATTGCATTGTCGCTGTAGCAGCGTTAGTTTTTACTTTTGTTTTAAAATGTCTAAAAAAGCACAACGAAGCCAGCGAACCACAAGTCGCCAGTTCGAGATGCTTGTCAATTTTATGGAAGAACACCCTAAATTAATGTCGGGGAAATTAGATTCTTCGTTTACTGCAAAAGATCGCCAGAAATTGTGGCAAGAAATAGCCGACCGTCTGAATTCCGATGGAGTCGGCTCACAAAAAGATCCGGAAAAATGGCGAAAAGTAAGTGATAGTCATATATTTATATATTCTGCATGTTTAGTGTTTTAAATAATTTACTGAGTCTATTTTGTCAGCCCATCCGTTAATAAGCAAATATTGTTTTTAAAAATTAAAATTTATGTGATAGTCATTTATGTATAGTGTATAGTTTACTGTAAGTTA